CCGGGCTAGGGCGACCGATCGAAGCAGAGTAAGATGCTCACCGGGTCGGGGCGGCCTATTGGAGCGAAATGAAATGCTCACCTAGCTAGGGCGGCTGGTGGGAGCGAAGTGAAATGCAACATGCACCAAGCAAAAATGCAATACACAGTAAACCAATATGCAGGTAATAAATTGGGCTAGTGCTAACGACTTCACTTCGGAAACCTAAGGTTTAGACCATTGGATATGCGGCATCACCACCTCTTACTCTGGTGAGGAAATGTGGGGAGTTTCTCCCCTGATCTTGGAGTTGGAAACTCTCCACAATGTCGCGAAATGGGATAGCTACAAAGCTTTTCCTACCTTGCAAACTCCTCAAGACTTTGCAAAGCGAGTCAGCTACAAAGCTTATCTCACTTTGTCAAGTCTGACCTCCCAACTTCTTCAAGTAAAGTTGGAGAATCCAAAGCAAGGGGCGTGATGGACTCCGACCCATCGGGACTTATGCTAAGCTAACAACAAGAGGGAGACACTTGACTCTACGGGGGGTGTTTGGCTACGCACATGAAGTCCTAACCTAAAGACTGTCTCTAGAAAAACCAACGATCCATCACGCAGGCACGTCGTGGCGCCGACCCACGCACCTCATGTGAGTGTGGGCGATCTAACCCACACACCTAGACTTCACTATTCTTAAGGTTGGCTAGGAGGTAGGAAATCTCACCACCGTGACGGTTGAGAACATGTTTTTTTTACTTGCTCCAAACTCGCCGACGTCTGATCCATGCTCCAATGTGTCTCGTAGAACGTGCACACGAACACAAAAAGACCCAAGGAGGGCAAGAATTAGTGAGGGATGCGAGGCACTCAAAAAAATAATAATTTTTGGCATATAAAAATATAACCAAAAGATACATTCGAGAAAGGTCGCTCGACGGCTGTGAAAGAGGGAAAGTTTTCGTCGCAAAAGAAAAAACGCTTGCACCTCATCGAACAACAACGAGGTTCGTTGTCCAGCAATGTCGAGCTGCTCCAGCGAGGCGTTTGGTCGCTTAAAAAGCGAGACGACGAGGTGGCAGTGGTGGAACACCGGTAGCACGCAACCGGGACGAGATAAACAAGAAGAAATGCACAAAATATGGAGCTGTGTGCTGAAGCGGGGCTGCTTTGCCACGCAATCGACGCCGGCGAGGAGATAGTCCGGCGAGGAGGAGGAACCAAAAGGGAACCGGCCGGAAGAAAAAAAATTTCCAAAAATGGACCAGCTATAAACGGAAAAGCTCAGCGACGGAGGAAAACCCCGGCGAGGTCAGCTGTTCCGGCGGACGAGAATCACGCCGGCGAGGTGGCCGACGTGAAGGGAGGGCTTCGGCAAGCGGCTGGCCAAGGAGGAGGAGTTCCGGTGCGTCTGGCCGGCGAGATCCGCCGCGGAAAAGGCTCTCCGGCGACTGTGCGCCGGCGGCTTTGTTCGCCGGCGAGGGAGGTCGGCGACGAGGCTGGGTCTCGCGATCCCGGTGGCTGCGTGCGTTAGCAAAGTATGGAGAGGAGAGGTTATGCGTGGTTTTTATATCCTTTTATACATATAATATATATACATATATATATATATATATATACATATATATATATATATATATATATATATATCAAGCGTGCAGGAAAATTTGCTACAGTAGAGTATTATATATATTATAATTATGGTTGGCATATTCATCACTCCTACACGTCCTCGCAGCGAGGTAGGTGTCCTTTCTAACTAAAGCAGACGTTCTGAACTCATCCACGCAGTACTTTTCGCCGTTCGGGGTCGTCCGGACCACTTGTTTGGACCATTGGGCAAAAAATGATATTTTTCATATTTTTTAATTCGTCTGCGAAATCGTGGCGTGCCAAACGTCCTACTTAGGTGGAATCGACAATTCAGACACACTAACGCAGTACTTTTTGTCATTCAGGGTCTTTTGAGGCCGCTCGAACTACCTTTCCAGCGATCGGGCTAACAAACAATAAATCACATATTTTAGGCTCGCTTGCAAAGTTGTAGCGAACTGAACGTTCTTTCTAAATAAAATCAATATTCTAGACGTGACCGCGCAGTCTGTTTCTTCGTCTGGGCCCATCTGAATGGGCTCACTAGAGATCGTGCCAATTCGAGCCAATTTCGCGCGCGACGCAATAAATAATATTTTTTTCCCCGATCGAAGCCCTTTGACGTGCCAGACGCCGACCAACCTTCGCCTAAGCGAAAGCCAAAACTTGCAAAATGCCCTAGCAACGTGCCCCTCAACACACGCTGAAAGGTCTCAGGTGGGGTGTCTAAACTACCAGATGACTACGAACATGTCGTAAGCTATTCCGAGGCATGCAGGTGGACACCCTACATTCATGACATCAAAAATTGATGCCAACAGGAGTCGACGGACCCGACTCATCAGAGGAGGAATCTAGACGAAAACCCATTGAGGATTTGGGAGCCGATGCCTACGCATGTGTGGGAGGTGCAACAAAATGAGTGATCAAAATGGTTATAAGAGTGTGGTTCGTCTCTTAGCGAGTAACAACTTTCTTCAACCTCCTGTATGTGTTCCCCAAAGTTCTTTGAGCACGCAGTCTATTTGAGGGCTAAGCACCTCCAACTATAAAAGTAAAAAAAATTAATAAGATTAATAAGCAGGAGAAATATGTACTATAAGCCACAAAAATAAAAGCATAACAATGTAAAATGACAACACATGTCATGACTATGTATAAAACCAGCAAAAGTAAGGTGGGCAACTACAATGTGAGAAGTAAAAGTAAAAGCAGTACAGAAACTAATCGTCTAAATATATGTATCTTTTTTAGTATGTTTTATTAGATGAGTCAATCAATGATAAACTTAACATTGATTAGTCAATCTCATCATCATTTTCATCCATATTTAGAGGGGCTTATTCATGAAGCCTAGTTGTATCCTCTATATGAAATACTTATTTGATTGAACTAAGCTGACTGCAAAAATTAGACATGCATGACTCTTGGTGAATGGGTTTGACATTGTTTTGTATCTCAATAGTTTTTCTTGATTATTAATAATAATGGCCTTATCAACTTTATGCCTTGCTCGACTAAGGCATCAAAGATAGTACACTTCACTTGCCTGACGTGCTAGAAAAAATGGATCAAACTTTGTATATCTTCTATTAATTTATACTTCAATAATATCATAAGGGTTCGGTGTCCATGTTCCTCGATTATGAACATGACCAAACTACTCACATTGCACTCAACATAACTCGAATATTGTAACTGAACTACTTCATCGAGTGTGTCGTAATAATTGATCCCATTATTTTTATGTGTGTTCCTCAAACACTAACACCATAATTATAAGTTTGTTTCCCTTTACACCAGAAACTTGTGCAAAATTTGAATTATTCACATCAAATATTTATCATGTAAAGACACTACAATGACCCTCTAAGCAATATCTAATAAGTTTTGGTCCGTGACTTCGTTGCTTATATTATGAACCTAGAAGTTCCAAAGTATAATTACTTACTTCGAATCTTACAATCATATATCGTACCAATGAATTGAAGAGTTACTTCAACGTAATTATAATGTGAACCATTTTGGAAATTCTTCTTTGATTTTTTTGCTTACTTGAGAGTCATCCCCTATATTCAAGTTGACAGTAAATAACATGCTCACATCATTGTTATTTGTATGTTTGAGTCAATTGGTATATCATTCTGGATGATAATTGCGACGTTTTTTATTAAATTTAAACCTAATGTGTGAATTATTGTATTTCATCGCAGTTCAGTAGAATATACAATGAAGCTGCTCAAATTTCTCTATCATCGAGGTAAAGTGTAGAATGACTGCCTAATGGTTCATCAGATAACTGGAATACATATAATTTTGTTTGCGAATACATGTCACCAACAGTTTCATGTATTTATTTCCCTTGATCGATGTAAAGTCATTGTCTTCTGTAATATGTACGTCTCACATATTTTTCCATCTCGATTTGATATATTTTTCACAGAATTTTTAATTTTATTTAGAAACCAATGTTATTGAGTCATTTTGAAATAAATAAGAAACTCTAAAATAAAAGACATACCCCTCAGGGATACATAGGAACATAAAGTCATTGTCTTTTGCAATATATACGCCTCACATATTGTTCCATCTCGATTTGATTTATTCTCCGCAGCCTTTTTAATTTTATTTAGAAACCAACATTATTGAGTCATTTTGAAATAAATAAGAAACACTAAAATAAAAGGCATACCCCTCAGGGATACATAGATCTGTATTGCATTGAACCCCACTCCCTCCAAAATAATATCACAGCACAGATGTATGAGCAGACACACAATTAAGTAAGAAAAAAAGACAGAAGAAAATATAAGCTCGAGCTTGTATAGTAATAAATGAATACTCATATCAATACTCATAAAAAAAATCAACATTCAAAATTCCTGCGCACAATTCCTGAATAATGCACTAATTTCGATCAATATATCAAGTCCAGCTTTGACATGACATTGAATGCAAAATGTAATAAGCACTGCATAAAAATACGAAAATCTTGACTCTTCATGCCAAATATTATTTCTATTCCAGAGTCAACACATTGGCCTATGTTAAAAGCACAACTTGAAATATTGATAATTAAAAATTAAGCACCTAGGTGTTTTTTTTTTGAAGTACCGGACCGATGCATTTCGTATGCCATGATCAAAACATTGAAATTTTGATAAAAAAGAAGAATATGTGTTGTGGTTTAATTATGAGTTTGGATATTTAATTTAGAAATTAGAAATTGGATGAAAGATAGTGGCTGCTTTATAAGTAATAAATTTTGGGTGTTCTACATGTAATTGCCCCTATACACACCACATTTTTTATGCATAAAAGTTAAAAAAATGATATTTGGGTGATATAAATGTAAGAAAATAAAATTTAGAAATTAGATGTGCAAGTGCATAAAAATTGAGAGGTATGCATGTAAATACTCCTAAAATTAATTTACTGGATCATCCATCCATTCATCCATCCCCCAATTTCAACTCGCGAAACGAATGGACTCCGAAAAAGGCGAAGTAAATCCTCTGAGAGCTCCCCTAATCAATGGCGACGAGCCTCTGCCATTCCATCACAGCACCCTCGCGCCTCTCCTGCTCTCTTCACGGCTCGATTCTCGCACGCCCTTCCTCTTTCGGCGGCGGGTGCCTCCCACAGAGCCGCTCAGTTCTTTCGTCCCCTCTTCCCCGAGCAAGACGAAAGGCTTTTCAGGCTCTCCCTCTTCTCAGCTCGTCGGACGCAGCAGAAAAGCGTTCGGTGCGCTGCGGTTCTGTCAGAACAATCGTTCAGAGCGAGTTCGCCGGCGAGGTGTTGGGGTCGGACATTCCTGTGCTTGTGGACTTCGTCGCGGATTGGTGCGGGCCTTGCCGTTTAATCTCGCCTATAATCGAATGGGCTTCCCAGGTATTCGATTTAGTTTGGATTAGGTCCTTTTTAAGTTGGTTTAGGTCAACAAGAATTTAGGATTGCTGGCTTGAAGGGATTGCAAGATAAGAAATGTTAACGAAATAACAGAATTAGATTGAATATTGTTTTGCCAATTTTTTTTTCTTTGGCTAAGAAGATATTTGCCGAGTTTTTTTTTTTTTGTTTTTATATTTTGTGGAAATTTTGAATTATAATTTTTATGAGGAGGAGAGTGCAGTCAATTTAAAAAAAAAATTATATTTGCTAATTTTTTTTGGTAAATTCAATCTTCTCTTAATTATATTGTAGCCAAACAACTAATATGAATTTGTGAAGCAATTTGCATTTGTATTTAACAACGGATTCAACAACCGACTACAGAATAGGCGACATGGAGCAAGCACTAGCACTGCAAATCAATTACTGCCACTTAATGTAACAGCTATTCTAATTCTGACCGTTAAAGGATAATAAGCCTATTCCTTCTTTGTGGTTTTGCAGCACTGCTTTATTAGACGGGAAAAAATTTGCGTCTACGCAACGCTGCGAACGATTTCTCGGTACAGCGAGGGTATGTATAACCCCTTATAACCTCCATACAATATTCTGTAACTTACTTGTAACCTACTAATAAATTCTTAATATATGATAACAGAAGCGCGGAACTTATTTGTAGGTTACAAGTAGGTTGCACTAGGTTACATAGAGATTACAAGGGGTTATAACACGGATATAACCCCCTTATACCCTCCCTATTACCTCAAAATCGTACGCAGCGTTGCGTACATTTATCGTACGCAAATTTTTTCCCTGCTTTAGCCTGTATTACGTAGCATTGTGCTTTTACACAGTTGATTAATGAAGAAAAAGAATTATTTTCTTCGCTTTCTTCTTTCATTAGCGATGTATCTCTATTTTAAGCATCTATCCTCGAGTTCATCAGTACTTTCCTCAATTCATTCAAACAAATAGCTGCTTAGTCTCACAAATATTTAGTGAAAAATTATTTAAATGGATTAGAAGATCAATATGTGGTGCAACTTCTATACAGAATTACATTGAGATCCTGTTTATACTGTTTGCATTAACTCTATTACTCATTTATGATGCACTTTAATTCTTTTTTTTTGAAAAATCAGACATATGATAATAAGATTGTGCGTGCAACATAAAAAAAATGACAGATGACAAGCTACCTTCTTTATGGTTTCACAATCACAGGCAAACTTTTGCATGGGATTTTACTCATTTTTGTGGAGAAGTGTTGTTTTTATTCTATAACAGGCAATAAACACAATAAAACATTACATCATCAACTAAGCCTTAACTCGGAGAGGGTTATTTATGCTTGTCATCTGTCGAGTATAGCACATAGACATAATTTCTAGTAAAAAGTCTAGTAAGAGCCTTGGAAGAGAAAGAAATGTATCCTCCCCTCAGGTGGCCTCCTTATTTATAGATTTGGGTTAATCCTAAGGATGCTTACAAATTTGGCTATAAAAAAAAGAGAAAATATATGAAAATAATGTGGCTAAATGTGTACCACATTGTGCAATATGGCGCCATCAGACTATGGGATGAGTTGATGAAATCACCCTCGCTTTCCGACTTAAGCCCGCCAAACTAATTTGCCAAATTGATCGGGTAAACTGTTTAGTTGAGCATGTTAGTTGATTTGATTTGATGTATTATCTGACCGAGTCGGTCGAAGTTAGTTGAGCTCGTTTCAAATTGACTTGCAAAATTGATTGAATTCGGTTGCTGCCTTATGCATCATCTGAATGTACTTAGAATATTATGATCATATCACATGCTTGGTGTTGGCCTATATTTTGAACTTGATAAAAAGGTATTTGGTTATATATTATTTAGTTTTAAGATAACTTCATAGTTTAATTTATCTGTTTTGCTTATTATGTCTTTTGATAAAGATTATCTAAGCTATCTGTTTTGTGCGACCGCTTCTCACCATCTCTTAGCATATAAATTTCTCTCTTTTGATTTTTTTTAAATAATATTATTTTCATATTATCTATCAAATGGATAAAACTAACATTATTGAATTGGGTTATCGACTATTTCTTTTTAAAGAAAGTGCACAAGTGGTTCATCAAGTGAATAAAATTTGTTGAATGTCCAATCTTATTAATAAAAAGAAGTCCTACAAATATATAGAGCACATATCCTTAAAGAATTGCCCTTATTCAGTTAAAATATTGTGAATAATTTTTTATAAGGAAATGAAAGCAACTAGAATCATGGTTTTAAATTGCGCAATATAGTCCTCCATAACATTTTTGTTTTGGAAAAAATGAAGCTTACTCTTCATTGTAAGGTGTCTGCAGTTAAATTTAAATTTTTTAAAAAATAAATATAAGTAAAATATGCAAATAAATATTCCTTACAATCATAATATATATTTGAGGATTTAATTGAATTTATTACTATCAATATTGTCATTGTTTTAAAATTTAATAGATTTTTTATTAATTAACATTGATTAAATAAAAGGAATATGATTGAGATTTGAGATGAGGAGGAAAAATGGGAGAATATGGATATAATTGAAGATAATGTGAGAGAGAAATGAAATTCTTATGTTAATTATTTCAGTGAATGCTCATTAAGTGATATTAGTGATAGGAATATTTTAATTTAGAAATTATAATTTTATTGTCTTACTTTGATGGAGAACAATAGGAGTGAGAGAGAGATTAAGTGTACCAAGCTTATTTTAAATTATTATATTATTTTATCTTACTTTGATAGTTATATAACTATTCTTATTTTTTGATACTTGAATGTTAACCTATTATTTTTTACCTCGAACAATTTATTACTTTTATTATATTAGAATATCAATATTTTTTTTCTTATTATACATGTTGAACCTAATACAATACTTCTTACTTTGCTCATTTTATTAATTGTGAAGCTTACCATATGCTCAATATGCAATTGCACAAATGTAAAGCTTGGTTGGAAGCAAATACTTTATGAATAAAAAGCTTACAATTTTTCATCCCAAATAATTTTTTAGATCTCAAATTTTCGCATCTAATTTGCTTTTAAAGTATATTCATCTGACATATTTTAGTATTGACCTTGTTTACACATTGCACTTTGTTTTCTCTAAGATTAGTATATTTGGGCTTGGATCTTAAACTTTTTAATTTTATCATTCTTTGAGATGTAAATCCCTTTATTTACAGCACCTTTTTTCATCTTTGTTTTAAATTACTCTTGATTTTCCTTTTGATATCATCACAATATTAATTATATTATCATTTTTTTTTAATATTCATCATATTTATGCTATGTTGGGTTAAATTAATTCTTTTGTATGATAATATTGCGCTTTGTCCTATCATGACTAATACCGTGATTTGAATGCTTGGATTCAATTAATATAGGCGGCTAAATAATTTTTGGTATTCTTCAAACCTTTTTCCATACTTGAACTCCATTCAAACTTGACGAGGACATAGATTTATCGACTCTATTTTTGTAGAAAATTTTTTTTTTTCCCTAAATGCATGATCTATCTGCAAGAACATTCAATGACAATCTATTTAATACTTTTTGCTACTGTAAATGCCTTTAACGACTCACTGTAATATAAGCAAAGCTACTTTCCTTGTAATACTCCTTAATAATATACCTTATGATGGTAAATCACCAATTTTTCACACGGGTATTGCTTTCATCTAAAAATTTTATTTTTGTGAGATGTCATATGCAAGAATAAATTTTCATAACATTTTCAGCTCATTTGCCAAACGTTGAAGGTAAACATCTACTTTGCCATTTGATTTGTAATCATTACAAAACATATTTATGAAGTTATCACAATGCATATTTTAAGAGATAAATTGTATGGCTTAAACATGACTGACCTACATGAGTATGGTGAAGCAGATGAGCTATGTTGAGTAAAATTATTAACATGTAAACCAATTCTAATATTTCATTTCTTTAATACAAATTCTAGATGTATGAGATTAAAGTGCTTTCTTGTTTTAGCTCTGATAAATGGTAAAACCGTTAGCTCTCATCTTATATCTCAACATAGATCATAGATGTATACAATCTTTTTAATTATGGGTTAAGAGTTAGATGATGTAACCTTTTAAATCGAACCCCCAATTTGCTGTTTCTATCTTGGTAATCCGTAATGTATGCATTCATTTTTGGCGATATTATCTTTATCATACAACATATAATTATTAGTATAAACTTTTATGTTCTTTGCATTTAGAGTTAATTTACACACAAATTTGTTGGTTTTATGGAAGTTGGTTGATACAAAATTATCTATTGATTGATGACCTTTAATAACCCGATAAATTTATTGAAATATTCTTGAGACACATTACATTGTGTTCTATTTCTTCATTTTCTAATTGCAAGGTGTCTGTCGTAGTAGTTGTTGAACATCTTTCTACTTGTCATAATATTATTATGCCTTACAGTTAGGAGGCTTTGCAATATCTTGTACCACCCAAATTGTATCAATCTGGGAGTCAATGGATCCTAATATAGTATCTTTGTATGTATGGATTTCTTCATAATTTAACTATATATGTATGATTTGGTTGAGTCACTACAATGAATGTCAATATGTGATTCAAACTTTTTGTATGATATTTAAAACCAATAATCTGATTGAACTTCTCTCTAATATAAATCTATTATGATTTCTTCAGACATTTGACATATTTGGTTCTTGTGTTTAGAATAAGAACATCGACGTTTTTTCTTTGTAATTAATACCTAATGTTTACATATCAATGAAAGAAAGAGAGAATTAAACTCACTATGAAATTCAACTTTTAATTATTTCCATCCAAGAAGAAATACACTATACATCCAAGATTGTTAATTCTCTTTATTCATAGTTTGTGATTAATTGTCATTAAAATTCATTTGCTATAGCTAAAAGTCCAACAATCTCACTAACCGTACCACTCATTGCACACTTATCAACTATGATTTAA